GAACATCAAATGAATATGCTATGGACTGTCAAGATTCAGTTAAAACTATTAAATCTAACCACTAAGCGGACTGCAGAGGGCCCACAGAAAAACAGCTTTCCAAAATATTTAAAGCCTAATTGCACCATTGTGGTTCAATAATGATAAAGAGTCACTTAGGTTTTTCTGGACTGGAAAACAAATTAAAAATCAAACTGTATTTTGAGGGAAGAAATAGTTACGACAGTATTCTACCCTGCCATTTAAAACAATGGGGACATCAACTACATTTAAGTTTCAGTCATTTATTTTTTCTTCTTTTGGGGCCAAAACTATGTCAAATAATCCATTTGGTGTCTGAACTGTACTGTTTATATCTATGTTAAAATACCCTTTATTGAAGGAAAGAAGAAAAACAGTTTAACAGGTTTGCAATACATCTTTTTCAAAAATGCGCTTTTCACAAATGATCCATGTAAGTATGATGTCTAAGAAAGGTGCCGTAGTTTGTGCCTTAACTATTGTCTTTATTCATCTTGACTAAAACCTGAAACGTGTAATATCAGAAACAAATGTACTTCTTTTTTTTGATACACGTTAAAGCCTTTCCTTTTAAAGAAATATTTTTATGTCTCTATTTTCACTCTGTGGAGGCTCTTTCATGCTAATTTACTGTATGTTTTTTTATTACACTGCTTAAATTTTTATAATTAGGTAAAGCATCAATTTATGAATCGATTAAAATGGATTACTGGGAAAGGCTATAGTTACTGTGGTGACAACGCCCACCTCCATATAAAGCTGTTTACAACAATCTCTAATTTAAGTCGGTTCCTGGGTCAGAGGTGTTTGTGCTCTGACATGTGTCAGCTCTGTCAGGGGGGCACAGCTGTCCCCAACTGAGGGGTCAGCCACCTAACTATACCCAGCCAGGAGACAAGCCCCTCGGATGAAAATAGGCTTATCGTCCGGATAAAAAAGGAGCTTCGTTGCATTGCTGAAAGATTCGTCACGACTCCATAAGTGCAAGTCATGATTTAGGGTAGAGGGCCACCCACCCCTAATGTTAAAATCCCTCTCTGTTTCTGTTTTATCCGCCTCATATGCTTTTAACAGTAGGTGCCTTACTGTCTAAACTTTATTTTCAGCATGGTGCTTTAAAATACTGTGTGAGAATTAGTTCCAGTTAGTAGTGCTCAGCTAGAAAGCTTCAGTGTGTTCTCATTACTAGCTCTTATTGCTCTTAGACTTATTGCATTTGTTCCTGCTTTAAGGTTAAAATAAACCTCACTGTAAACCTTAACAACTTGATAGTAATGTATGAGGCTACATTAGAATTACATGTGTCATTCATGAGGAGAATCCATCATTCTGCCATGTTCTTTAGTTTCGACATTGGTTGCACTAACTTACTGTAATGTAAGCACATACATTAGTGGGTAAAGGCTCTGTTGACCTTTGCTTTCCTTGGAAGTGGCAGGAGTAGCTTTGATCTGATATCAGAAGGAAGGACACGTGTGTAGGACCTCACAGAGCAGCAGGCCTTTACAGTTGGCCAGTCGCCAGCCACCATTGGTTGGTGGTGACAAGTCTATTCTGGGACCCATGGAGTCCTGAAACATTGAAGCAGGAATGGACTCCTCACCAGGAAACTATTCTCTCTTCCCCAAAGTCTTATTACTCCTTTATCTGCTTCAGTCAATCAAATCATGGTCCTATTTGCAGCTGTCTGCTGCTGCAGTATCTCTTTATAGACTGAAATTAGACGCCATTAGGTCTATAGTAAGCGTAAGTTCCGTTCCTGTCAAAGGGTCTATTTCTGATCATTTATCATGTTGCTAATGCCACCTCAAATCTTCATGCAGCTACTGTAACCACCAAGTCACTGTAAAAAGCAGCATGTCTATAGCAAAGGGGAATACACTATTTGAATTGAAGTGGGCATATTGAATATTTGGGTGGCTGAGGGGACTGGGCCTCAGGCCAGAATAAGGGTCACTGTGGGAAGTTTGAAGTTCATTGAACACTTTGTGCATAAACAGTGCATGAAATCACAGTGATATGCGGCCAGGAGAGCAAACCACCATGCATGGTAATGCAGATTACCCCAAATGAGATGAGGGCTCCAGGAATGAATTTGAAGACATAGTTTACTGGTGTGTCATTGGTGCTGATCTGCAACACATTTGCTTTTTTCTTTTCCTGTTTGAATGAGTGCCTTATATGTTGTTTGGCATGACCTCTCAACTGCCAACAAGACAATCAGCAGTGTGACACAAATTGCCAAATTGAGTTGAGCAAGCTTCAGAGCCATCTTGATGTAATTTACATACACTGTACATACTTAGACGTGCACACACAGAGCCGGCTTGTACCAACTGCCACGTCCACTTCCTCTGCTTCAATGCAGGGCAAACTGCAGCATGTCAATGATAAAGCATTTCATAGTTTCGTAATACAGAAGAATGCCTCTCCTGTACAATGAACCTGAGGATCCTTTTGTTCCTCCACTGAAAACTCCTCCCAGCCATCAGTCTGAGTCATTAACCCCACATGAACATCTTAAGATATCTTAAGAGATGCTTTAGAGCATATCTGCGATAGGAGGAGTACATTCATGGTCTTGGGCGTCACCTCCTAGTCTGACTTGGTAGATGTCAAGGAACTGTTGTGTGACAGGGATTGTTTACCTGATAGCATTAGTGAAGACATAACTGCTAAAAACTACTTTTAGTGTCTCTATATGTAAAGGAATATTTCACTGTTGGAAAGATGGCCTGTCTATGCAGTTGAAAGATGATAATACTTTTAAAATTGGTGCTACATGACCAGAGAGAACAGAGGAAAGGGGCTGTGACATTTGCTTTTGCTCAAGAGGTAGAGAATCCTACAGCTACCAGAATGCACTGCACTAGACCAATAAAAGCTCCCGCTGGTGGGGGACATAATGTGAGCTTGGCTGATTTGACAATGAAACAATATGACGGCTGGCTAATAACAAATTATTTTGAATTACAGTTAAATGGTAAGTTAAAATATGTTTTAGTTGGTTCATATTTGATCAGCAATCAGTGCCGGACCTAGCATATTTTGTGCCCTAGGCAAGCCCGCCCCCCCAGTGGCACCCTAGGCAGCCGTCTATATTGTCTTAAAGAATACGCTTTTAAGAATCTCAGTTTTATCAGCCTCCATTTCAGCAACACAGGAGACAGTGTGGCGACCACTTCCTGTTCACAAATTCTTGTATTACAGCCAAACAGTGCACTAAAATATGTAAAACCGGTCATCCAGCAGATTTGAGCTGAGATATAAGCAGGGGGATCTTTGCACTGGTAAGATGGAGAGAAGTTTACCATCATTCATTTACACATATCGCCCACACTGTAATTATATAAAGCTGGTTGAAAATCAGCAAAGAGCCCCTTTAATGTTTGTCCATGGTTTTAAGCACATATGACTATAATATTGCCCCCAGGTAATTTGTTATATTCCTGATTGCTAATGAAAGCTTGACAGCGTGCTAATAGCTTGTCTCAGATCACACTGTCTTTGCAAATAGTGGTCTGATAAATGACAGTGTAGTCCAGCTGTCCAGGACAACAGATTTATGGCCCGCTGCTCCGCTGCAGCCCCGAAAGCGGATATGTGGCTTAGTCAGAACTGGCTCACTTCATTTGACTGTTGCCATGGCGAATAAAATGAAAACAGTTTTCCACCAGTGTTTGGATGTGTAATAGTGTGTGTGGTTTCAAACAGCGGGGGGAATGCATCATTTCATTGCCTCTATAATTTCGCAACTAGATCACTGTGTTCCAGCATGGTTCCCTGAGCTTACTCTACTCTTCAGTAAATCCTTTTTCTTTTTCAATGAGATGAGTGAACATGCACTCCTCTGCTTTATCCTACAATGGTCAGTTTTCCTGCCAGTTTGGCTCTGACACTGGCTACGAGAGGACGCTCTCACTGACACAGAGAGACGAACGGGAGACAGATGTACAGAAGGGAGAAGTGATCTAGGGATAGAAATCTGATATCATGTTCCTGGGAGTGCTGAAAAGGTTAGCTATAATGCGCAGTTCTTTATATAGTTGCGCAAGACAGAGTCTTGGTTGCCAGCTAAATGGAGGCACAGAGCCCGAATGTTAGGTGTCTGAAGCAGCAGCACAACTTTAGGGTGCTTTGCAGCCTGTTGCATCACTTTAATGAGTTGCAATGGGAAACACTAATAAGGCGATGTCATTTCCTTCATTTGGTGACTTGGTGACCGTCCAACAAACGTAGACATGATTAGACTTGAACTTGGACTAAATCAGCATGGGTCCTATCAGACCACCAGTGTGGGAGTTAAACTGCCATGTCAGTTTTGTCTTTCCATATTCTTTATGATCCTGGAGACCAAAATACATTCATGATGATACATGTCACCTTTACTTTACACATGCAAAAGGCCACACCCTGTGCGTAAAAGCTTTTCAGTGATACCTGATCAGCAAATGTGTAAAACTACACGCCATGTACTTGATAACCCACATACAGTTGATGCCCAAGGCAGGATAGATGTATGCCAACTGGTTGACTCTCTTTCTTCTCTAAACTAATCCCTGTTCAGAACAGCTCATTTGCTGGACCGGTGTGTGTGTGACACGCCAACGGGTGTTTGTCTGCCAGTCTTAATGTGTGTTTAGAGGTGTGTGTGTACATTATAGGAGGCGTGTGCTTTGGTGTGTGGGTAGGAGTCTCTGTGAGAGTCACAGAGCTACAGAGCATGTGCTCTAACACACTTCTTAGGTGTGTTGCTCCATCTATTTAACTTTGCACCCTCTTTATTTCAATCAGTTTATTGCATATGCTTTTTTTTTTTTCTTCGCCTCATACTTCCTGCTGTACTATTTACTTTAGTGAGATTTTTTTTCCATGCCAGTTTTTTCCTAAGAAATAGAGAGAGAAGGTAGGAGGAGCCGGACCGAGAAGTGTGCTTCACTCTCTCTCTCTCACACTCTCACACACACGCTGCCTCTCTTCCATTCTGTCATTGCCATCTCGGCAGAACGGAGACTGTTCATTCCCAGCCACGCTGAGTGTTGGGGGGGACAGCACACTTTTGACTTTGTTTAAGTCAGATCTCACAGAGGAATATACTTTTTCTTCACGATATCCAACGGATCAGCAAGAACAGGAGGAAAAGAGAGTAAGGAAAAAAGCTTACAAGGATTTCTTCTCTCATTTTTTTTCTAATTGAATTGAGAAGCACGTGACAGCTGGTTTTGCCACTGGATTCTTTCACACAACAAGACGTGAGATTATCTTTATTATTTTCCTTTCATGTTGTGATTTTCAGTTTTACTTTGAGAGAGCATACTGATATAAAGCACAATGGTTGCTGGAATGCTGATGCCCCTGCGGGAACTGAGGGCTATCTATGAGGTCCTGTTCAGGGATGGTGTCATGGTGGCCAAGAAGGACAAGAGGCCTCAGGCCAAGCACCCTGAGATAGAAGGTGTGAGCAACCTACAAGTAATCCGTGCCATGGGGTCTCTTAAGTCTCGGGGTTATGTGAAAGAGACTTTTGCCTGGAGACATTTTTACTGGTACTTGACCAACGAGGGCATTGTTTACCTGCGTGACTACCTCCACCTGCCCCCTGAGATTGTTCCTGCCTCCTTGCAGAGGATCAGGAAGCCAGCTGCCACCCTGGCCATTGCCCACCGGGCTTCTCGGGTCCAATCTGTAGAAGGTCCTACTTCTTATGTTCCTAAGCCAGGACGCAGGGGTGAAGCAGAGAGCCAGGAGTCTCTGGCTGAGCGTCAAGGCTACCGCCATAAGATGATGGGTCCTGGAGAAAAAGAGAGCTACTCTGATAGGACCCCCAGGTTTAGGGGTCGTCCGCTGGCTGCAGAACCAGTCAGGCCAAAAGCATCATGGGAAATGGAGGACCAGCGTCAGCCTCTTTTTAGGAGGGGAAACAACTTCAGAAATGAGTCAGCAATGATGGAGGATGGCAAGGTGAGAAGAGTCTCTCATCAGCAGCCTGATGTGAGCAGTGAGAAGCCAGTAACAGCCTCACAGGAGAGAAGAGTGGCTGAAGTCCAAAAGGAGGCACCAATTTCTGCCCAGACTCAGAGAGCAGCTTTGAAACAGGATGCGCCACAGACCACTCTTACATCAGTGTTCTCCAAGGCAGCCCTACCATTAAGTGTGGCTGCTGTCGCTGAGGCTACAGGTGCTGCAACATCAAAGATTGCAGCTGAACCATCCACTGCCAAAATAAATACAGAGAAGCTCAAGATCGCTGATGAAAAAGCTTCCATGAAGCCTAAGGAAGTGGTAACAGGCAATTCAGCTATAACAATGCTTCATGATACAGTAGTCAAAGAGGAGAAGACAAAAAAGGTGATTGTGGATCCAATTAAATCTGCACAGGTTAAGGCTATGGCTGAAACTGTGCATGATAAAGTAAAGCCCCAGGCAGTTATTACAATGGCTGCCTCTCAGGAAACCTCCAGTCTGCTTACTCCCAATGCCACTCCTGTCATCACAAAATCTGTCAAAAAAGATATCAAGGAAGAGAAAACAATTAAGGTGACCATGGATCCGATTCAGTCTGCAGAGATCAAGGCTACAAGTGAAGTGGTAAATGATGAAGAAAAACCCCAAGAAGTTATGACAAAGGCTGCTGCTCCAGAAATGTCCAGTCTTTTCACTGACACATACACTTTCAGCCCTGTCATCACAAAACCTGCCGAGAAAGATGTCAAAGGAGAGAAGACAACAAAAGTGATTGCAGATCCAGTTAAATCTGCAGAGGTCAAGGCCACAGCTGAAACAGCACCTGATAACATGACGGCCCAGCCACTTATCACAAAGGCTGCTGCTCAGGAAACCTCCAAACTCATTACTGACGCCAACACTGCCACCCCTGTCATCACAAAACCTGTCAGTAAAGATGTGAAGGAAGGGAAGGCAAAAAAGATGATTGTGGATCCAGTTAAATCTGCAGAGGTCAAAACCACAGCCAAACCAGCAACTGATAACATGACGGCCCAGCCAGCTATCACAAAGGCTGCTGCTCAAGAAACCTCCACAATCATTACTACCACTGTGACTTCCACCTCTATCATCACAAAACCTGTCAGTAAAGATGTCAAGGAAGACAAAAGAAAAAAGGTGATTGTTGATCCAGTTAAATCGGCAGACGCCAAGGCTGCATCAGAAACAGCAAATGCTGTAGTAAAACCCCAAGCAGCTATTACAATGGCTGCTGATCAGGAAACCTCCAGCCTGCTCACTGACACTGACGCTTCCACCCCTGACTTGGCAAAACCCGCCAATAAAGGTGTCAAGAAAGAGAAGACAAAAAAGATGATTGTGGGTCTAGTTAAATCTGCAGAGGTCAAGGCCACAGCTGAAACAGCACCTGATAACATGACGGCCCAGCCAGTTATCACAAAGGCTGCTGCTCAGGAAACCTCCAAACTCCTCACTGACACTAACACTGACACCCCTGTCATAACAAAACCTGACAGTAAAGACATCAAGGAGGAGAAGCTTAAGAGTGCAAAGGTCAATGAGGAATCAATTAAACCTGCAGAAGCGAAGACCCCAGTTGAATCCAAAACAGATGATGAGAAAGCCAAGAAAACTGCCAAAGTAACTGTTACTCAGGAGACCACCAAACCCCCACCTGACAGTACCACCATGGAGCCAGTGTCATCCACTAATGCAGGAAAAGAGCTCTCTAAAGTTAAAGTGACTCAGGTGCCCACTGATGCTGAAGTGACCTCAGCGAATCTCTCAACAAGGGAACCCACTGTGGTGACTGAGTCCTCAATATTTGAAGTTAAAACTACTATTAGTAAAACAGCTCTCTCTGCACCAACTGCCAGTTCTGAAGATGCAAAACCCGTCAAAGGGAAAGCTACAGATACAGAGAAGAAAGATGAAAAAATAGTGCCAGATGAGGCCCTTAAAGCCTCAGTACAGGGCCCGACATTAGCGCAAAAAGAGTCACCTCAGGTCAGTGAAAATATTGCCACTACAGAGGTGGTTACGGAAACCAGACCAGTAGTTGAGGGAAGCTCTAAATCGAAAAGGAAGAAAAAGAAATCTCAAGGTGAGAGATCCAAGAGTGTTGAGGAACTACCTGAGTCAAAGATGGAGAAGGATAAACCCTGTGTAGACATGGCCCCTAAGGAGGTGGCTGAAAAAACCCTTCAACCCACATCAGTGACTATCTCAGAGCAACAGACCGTGTTTACCAGCATAAAGACTGAGGGGCCGGTAGAGGAAAAAAAGACTCAGGCTAAAATAGATACTGATGGAGGGAAAATAAAGAAAGCCCCTAAACAAACTAAAATGGAGCCAGTAGTGGAAGTCTCTAAACAAACTAAGGACCAAAGTATTTCTGAAGTAGCATCACAACCACAAGATCAGATCCCAGCAGTGCCCCCAGTGGTGCTCAAAGATGATGCACAAGTAAAAGAGAAGGTTGAGGGAAGCAGTGTCAGCAAAAAAACACATGGACCATTATGCTCTGAGGACAAGTTAACCGCTAAATCGCCCCACGCGGAGCCAGTGAAGTCTGAGGAATTGACTGTCACTAAAGTGGAAACAGTGACTGTGCAGAAAATAACCCAAGTGGAGCTCATACAAGCAAGTCCTAAACCTGAAGGGAAAAGCCCTGTGCCAGCGTCAGAATCTCAGAAACCCACAGTTGAGACTAAATCCTTAATAAGCACGGGGAAAGCTGCAGAGGAATCTTCAAAAGGGAAGAAAAAAGGTAAAGGGAAGAAGCAGGCGCAGCCACCACCATCAGACACCATAAACACAAAGCCTGTCTTTTTGCCTGAAGCTGAACCATCCCCTAACATTACATCATTGCCCAAGGCCACAGTTAAAGACAGCCGTGTCACGACCTCTGAAGTGACAGAACTAAATGTTTCTCCAAAGATGACTCCTGAAAGAATGTGCAGTGAGGAAACCAAGCAGGCAGCAGCTGTGCTCTGTGAGGCCCCGGCAGACAAAGGGGAGGTGGAGCCAGCGCTGCTCTTTACAGAAAAAATCAAGCGGGAGGTTCCGAAACCAAAAACATTCTCCACTGCGAGGGAAGCACCCGCAGCCGGAGAATTAGCGTCAGCAGCACCAGCGGTAACAGCACAGGCAGCTGTAGCTCCGGCTCAAGCCAGCCCCCTCGACAAGCAAGAGGAGCCTCCCAGAGTTGCACAACATTCAGCCAGTCAGGCAGCAGAGCGCAGCACAGAGAAAAGGCTCTCTGTTTCCGCGGCCTTAAAACAGGAGGAAGAGAAGAAGAAGGACTTGGAAGAGGACACACCCTCTGCCACTGCCACACCCGCAGCTGCCCAGCCTGACCAGCTTCACCTGGTGGACAACTGTGAGTCCGGAAGCTCAGACACAGACGAGGCCACCATGAGGAAGAAAATTGTAGTGGTTGAAGAGATAGTTGAGGTGAAGCAGATTATTAGTCCTGATGCAGGGGGACAGTCACCTCCTCCACCTGTAATACCTGCGGAGGATGAAGAGGAACTGGATCTGGATGTTCTGGAAGAAATTGCCATAGAGCGTGCACTTTTGGCAGCGGCACCAGGGGTCAGAGTGCAAGGAGCCTCACCTGAGGAAGACTGGGACCACTCACTGGAGGCGCCAGAGGAGAAGCAATGGCCTAACTTCTTTGAAGGTTTGTTTGAATGCATGCCAAATAACCTACTCTCTAGCTTGTCTTACTCTCCCTGTGCATGTGATGTAATCGCCCTAACATCAAGGTTCTCACCTTTCTTTGAAGCATGGGAGGTATTTGGTAGGGTATCTGATGACAGCTCGATTGTTGCTCCTCCATATTGTTATGGACTTAGTATTTCATTCTCTGACGTATGTTCCCATACTGTAATTGTTTCTTACTTCTCTTCCAAAGTGTTATTTGGGGTAATTTAATTGCAGTTTATAGCTTAAAGTTACATGGTAGAGAGCCCGGCTTCTGCTTTGTGATGTGGACTAGAGGCAGTCTCTCTTTAGGAATAGTTTCAGTGAGCTGGTGAGAAGACTCAGTTGAGATGTGGCTGTGATTTAATTATCTGTGTGTTAAAATAGATGAAGGCTCAGTAACACTGTCATTGCATGCCCTGTAGTGTATTCGAGGCACTGTCAGTTTTCACACAGGCATAATGACAAGCATAATCACAGGTGAAAGTTATACTTAGCAGCTACATAAAACTATACTTCATCATTAAGTAAATGTCACATATAATTTAATACAGTATTTACACGCAGAGCATGTGTCAGTGGCAATTATCATTCTATTGAACAAACCCAAGACTTTTTGGGTGGGGTACTCCAAATTTTGGTTAAGGAGTGAACTGTGCTGCACATGTGTCAGTGCAAACAGTAATCTCTGGAGCCATCTCTGAGTATTTGCCAAATGAAATTATGCAGACCTGCAGTCATTCCAACAAGGTGGGGCTGTTTGCTGAGATTCAGCCTCGCCTGTTCCCTGTAGAGATAGTTGTGTGTGAGTTCAAGCCAGGCTGCCTGAGAAAGGGAGGTGTGGTGCTTTTGGGAGAGTTTCTCCTCTTTGCCCCAGTAAGACTATGTTCTTGGCACTGTTTTATGTTCTGTGGTTGTTTTCTTGCTTCTCTTTTCAGCCTGTCTTGCAGAGAAGATAAGCATTCCCCTTGCATACCATTATGAAATGGTATGTGTAGGATATGGGAGTTATGCAGGCAATGTGATAGTAGTAGTAAACGTGGGCCTCTTTTGCTCTACGCCCTAAAAAAAGGTGCCATCTGATTCTGCGGTTGGTTCTGCTGAAGTGAAACTTGCAGTGTTCATCCTAAATCATGATGCATGTTCATGTGATTCTAGATCTTGGCTGATGTCTAATATTTCACAACTTTCAACAGTGAAATAATGTGATGTTTTGACTGTCATGTGCATTTTTGCAGCCCTCAGAGGGCGTATGGCAAGGACCTCACATGGGCGTTGTCTGTTGTGGGTGTGAGCAACGGACAAAGAGTCAGGAAGCTGGAATAGCTTGCTCACAGCTCGTAGGGTGTGTTTGTTTGGTTCCACATGTGACAGCAGATCTGGATTCAATTAGCAGCCACGTTCCTTTATTCAATCTGTGGAACTCATCAGGAAAATAAGTCCTTATTTGCACTTTGATAAAACTTTATTTATGACCCACATACACAGTAAACAGCATATGGGACTCATCATAAACACAACTTTAAACTTAACTTAGATTCATTGCAGTGATTCAACATCTAAAAAAACCTTATCTTTAATATTGATGATTAAAACTGAACATTCACAAAGATCTCAGTTTTACTTTGGAGTCTGTGGCATTATCAGATCTGGCCACAGCAGTGCAAGTCTATCAGATGACCACTGTGTTCGGTGACCCACTGCTGACATCTGCTGTCCATTACCAACCATTGTCATGTGTCACACACACCATATGCTACAACTGTAGTCAGTTTTGGTAAAACTCCAAGTAATGCATGCATGTGTGGATAAACCTTGTTTTCCTTTTGCTTATAAAGCTTTGCATTTACTAGATTTCTGCACCGTTGCCAAAGCAGTTCCCTTCTGATTTTTTACAACAGATATGATGAGTAGTGTCAGACAGGACAGTGGTTTGCAAAGGTACAATTTTTTGGGCTGTGATCCATCTGAGTGTGGTATTCTAGGTATGTTAGCTCATCAAGCTGTCAGCAGAACCAGTTGGACCCTGGGGTATAGTTAGAGTTAGGTATGTCTGTCTTTGTCTTACTCCAGTTTCTGCCTCTTCTTTATTGCAATAGTGATGTGGAAACAAGGAAGAAGGAAAGTATTTTAAAATTCAACTTGCGCCACAAAAATGTTGCTTTCAAAACAAGGGCTCCTTAAGCTGGTTTAGATTTCAAGGGAACACTTCTGACATTACGGTGTGGCACTTTTGATTTCTTGAAGGGAGGGTGCTGTCCGTGCTCTGTATGACATGGACATGCTGGAGAGGCTGTTTAAACTCTGCCCACACATGGCACCAGGGGCAATTTGAGTAAATCACATCCCAGACAGGGCAGTGAGGTCCTCCATGTTTTTCATCTCTGAAATCATGCCCAACGCATATTTGTGTGATAGCTTAAATGAAGAGCTGCAGTATGGCTGCAGCTTTGTGCCTCTCATTATGGTGGCACATCATTTTGATCCTATGACTCACACAGACCATTCTCAAATCTGCGAGCTTGAGTTATGAGCCTGACCTTTTTGAGGAGAAAAAAAAAAGAATGGGGGACAAAATGAATGTCCAGTCTTGTGCTATCTATCAGGAGTGTGTTGTGAGTTGGCAGCTTAAGTAGAATCTCATGCTGCTGTTGACCACCAGCGATGTTTTGCTCAAAACAGGGTCAGTGACCGAGCTGCTGTGCCCTATCTTTTACTGCTGACTCCGCCTTTTAAATCACTTCTGATATTTTATTGCACTCATAAGTGTCAGGACGAATGCTTACATTTCATAAATTGAGACACAAACATTTTGACAATGAAGAGATACTGTTGACGCAGTCCATGCCAGTTCTGAAAATACAGAATGAAACTCGAGAAGAAGGCTGTAATCCTCCAAAGCTACTGCAATATTTCTGTCAAATCCTGATTTAAATATAAAACAAACATCAGTAATCAGTACCCCTCTGATATCAATTTAAAACTTAGATTTTTGAAAGATGTAAATAATGAAAAAGTGATGAAAAAGTGTGCATGAATGATTACAGACACTGTGATGAGCAACCAAAACATAATCCTCTCCCATGGGCCGGTTGTGTGTGATCTTCCAACACAGGAGTTTTAGTTGCCAGTTTTGAAGTGCCGCGTTGGCGAGCACAAAGTGTTTGGTATCAAATTTAATAGCAATCCATTGCAACATAATGACTAGACGCTGGACAGTGATGCAAAGTCAGAAATCTGTTATAGCAATAAAACAGTTAGCTAACTGCAGGCCAGACCCAGGAAACAGAAAGATCGATAACATGTGGAATATATTGAGGGTTTGGCTGAGATGGTTATGATGTTAGTCATTTCCCAGGGTACATGTTGGGCCTTATTACAGGGGCTGACTAACTCCACTTCAGTTTTGTGAGAAAGTTGGAAGAATAGTTAAAGTTTGAGAGGCCTCTGTAGAGCCTACACATGTTTTCATTGGGATTTTTTAGCCCTGTGTTAAATTTGACCTTTATGTTTACTTTATGCAGCTTTTTCTCAAGAGCAAGCTCACCACCTGCTTAGTTAAGATTGATTTTTAAGTGGGGCTAAAGCAGTGTTTACAAAATAGAGATCCAGCAGTATATGGGTGTACATTGAGACCAGAGGTATTCCCCTCTGGACACAAGCTTGGAATACCTTTCTGCTTTGCGTCCTGACATGACTGATGTGTGCGTGAGGCTTAGTTAAAGGGGCACACCACCTAAATTAAGAATATGTCATTTCTATGGCCTAAGAGAAAATTCAATCAATATTTGTGGAAATAAGCCGCTCTCACATTCGTCTGGGTGCTCTTAGTGTCATCTATAACGTCCATTCATGGTCTATGAATTTTGAAAATGGGCATAGTTCCCCTTTAAGTTCAGGAGTTTGTGAAGGCACATAAGGATGTTCATGGAGGAATTCCCTGCAATCCTCTGTAAAGCCCCTACATGGTTTCTCAGTATAGCTGTCGTGGTTTCACACAGGGCATCCATCTTTAGTGTCATGAGAGAAGACTATCCCAGCTCTACTCTCCAGACACTGACTGGAATTGCTTTTACAGAGAACTGGAACCAGTTGTCAACGCTACAATTGATGAAGCCGTACGTACATATTAGAAGCTACTATATTTAGAGAATGTTGTGCATTGCTGTGATCCCAAAAGCAATAGGGGATGAACATTGAGAGCTGTCGCCATGCTTATCTCTCTGGCAATCTGTCTATCAGTAGACTCTGTGTGCGGCTATATGATTTAATAATTACTGAATCCATCTTAGCCCACAGCTTTCATATTTACTGACTTTGTTGCTATTTCTGTCTCCTTAGAGTTACTGCCAGTGGTTTTTCCCATAATGACGCTGAACATATCCAGTTTAATCTGTCTCATTTACAGTTTAAATGTCAGGCATTGAGCGAACACTCTTGATATAAGTGATGCATCATGAGAGGAACTGTAGAACAAGCTGAAAACATCACGGAGATCCACAAAAATTAGCAGTGTGAAAGTTAGTACCGAAGTAAGGAAATCAGAAATGGAGTTTGGGAGTTTTACGACTGTGTCACATCACATCACATGTGGTATTTTGTTTTATCATCAAGTAAACCATGTACTGTATGGCATCAATGCTTCTTCTCGTATAATAGTGATGAGTCTACTTCTGTATGTGCTGACAATATTATGTCCACATGATGTCTCTAGCATATGTTAATGATGCTGTTTCCCAGAGGGCTCTTGATTGAGATCTGTTTCCTGGCTGGGTGCTGTGACTTAATATGACAGAATAAACTTGCCACCATCATCATCAAAGAGAGCAGTAGGAAGGGGGGGGGATGTGTGTCTGCTTGTGTTTGTGGGGGGTGTCTCTAGGGAGCGACTATAGCCAAGTGTCCCGCCAGGGCTCTACCATCAGTTTCTAACTGTGACACTGTGTGATCATCTGGCTCTGGTAGATATTTATAACC